CTGGCTTGGTCTGTTTTTAGCCCAGCTCTTCTGAGGAGGAAGGAGAGTGCTACTGGAAGTCACAGAGTATAATCTTTATGGGTTGAAGTGTTTTGAATCCCAATTCCAGCAGGGTACAGTTTAGTAACCCTTCAATATTAGAATTAGTTCTAGATTTCAGTATTAGTTCTAGATTTTGATATAGACTTCTACCTGAGGGGCAGTGAATGGTGTTAGACAATTGGGAAAGTTCATAGTTGAATTGAAATTTGAATTAGGATTTTTTTTTTCTTCAAAGGGACAGTCTTTCTGGGTTTCCTATTTGTAAAATAATGCATTGCACACCTGCTATGGTGATAGATTTCCTATAGTTCCATTCCATTGAGTTTTATTTATTTATTTTTGTACTAGAAGCACGTGTTTTCTGATTATTTCATTAAACTAATATATCCAATGAAGCACATTAAAAAAAAAGACACTAAAAATAAACTAGTCCATATTTGAAATGCCAGTTATTATTATATTTTGAACTGTTGAGCTTTCCATTTAGGAGAAAGAGTTTGTCAGCTGTTAAACTTTACCTTTGAGAATTAACTTTCTTTTATAGCAATGTCAACTCAACCATTTTTAGATTTTTCCATCTAGCAAAATTTGATCTCGGTACTATCTGAAAATTTCATGTTATTCCAAATGTATTACCTTTAAATAATCATAGAAATTAAGAATGACTTGCCCTGGCCTCTTTTTATTCTGCATTCTAGCTGCATTCATAAGGACTGACACCAAGCTGATTTGTGTTTGGAAAATCCCCAGGGAAGACTGCTGCTAGGAAAATGCATTTTTCAAAGTACCTTTTATTGAAAGATGTCATCCACATCAGTTAATAAATAATAATAATAAATTAGATTTTCTCATAGAGGTAGTCCTCAACTTACAACAGTTTGATTAGTGACTTTTCAAAGATACAATGGCACTGAAAAAAGTGACTTATGACCATCCTTCACACTTAGGATTATTGCAGCATCTGTTGCAGGTAGTTGAGGACTTCCTGTATTAAGTATTCAACGCATATCATGTATGTATTAAAAGTACTTTCTTATTCTATTACAAACTCTGAAGAATGCTTAAATCAAACTTATTGTACTCCTAGCAGAGTTTGATACATATATGTAGTTCTTGGCTTAAAACCATAACTGAGCCCAAAATTTCTGTTGCTAAATGGGACAGTTAAGTGAATTTTGCCCATTTTAGTGCTTTCTTGGCATAGTTGTTGAGTGAATCACTCAACAATAGTAATATGGTTGTTAAGTGAATTTGGATTAATTCTTTGCTTCTCGGTTTAGGTAAAAAAATAAGAATAACCCAACAAGGTGCAGGTTACCCAAATTTTTAAAAATAAAGTTTGCACAATTCATTTTAGTATTTCATGCAAATGTGGAAGCAAAAAAACCCCTTTCCCATTCCTTGTGGAAATTTGGCAGGGAGCAGCAGAAATCTTCTCTTCCCTTCCTTCAGATAAATGGCTTCTATGTGGGGGAGGGGGGGCAGGAAGGGAATTATGGATCGCAAGTCTGGCTAGGAAACTGTCATGCAATGTTGAAAATGAAGATCAGTCCGACAGCAGCCAGTAGCACTAAAGCAGTGAAAACCTATCCAAATTTCATTCCCTTGGGAATGGTCTGTATGTTAGCCAATTTGAGATACTTGCATTAAAAAAATGCTTGTCATATGATGCACTTTTTTGCCCAGTTAAAGGTCATGACAATGAGAGTTTTAGTTAATATACCCTGTATCCCCTAAGATAAGACCTATCCGGAAAACAACCCCTAGCATGTTTTTATATGTGTGCTTAATATAAGCCCTACCCCCAAAATAAGACCCACTTAAGAGCCTGTGCTGCTTCCCATCTGCCCATTTTGTCTGCTTGCTTGCAGTGCTGCAGCCACAAGTCAAGGCAGGGTGATGGAGGAGGTGCCCCATGTGCCTTGCACTGGCTTACTGCAGGGCTCCCGCAGCCAGGCCATCCACCTTCCTTGCGGTGATAGCCATGTGCAACAGGAGCCCAACCACTGGCTCACTTTTGTTTGCTTGCAGCTGCAAAGGAGCAGGAGGCCGAGCGATGTGTTGGTGCCATGACTGCAGGGCGAGGCAGATCTCTGGGCATGGGTGGTCTGGCTACAGAGGCCCTGACGTAAGCAGGGCACGTAGGGCAGCTCTGCCTCATGGTGGCAGCACTGACGTGCCACACCTGATTTCCTGCCCCGCCATGAACAAGCAGAAGAAGTGGGCATGGGAGGAAAAAAATAAGCCCCCTGAAAATAAGCCCTAGTGCTTATTTTGGAAATAAGACACGGACTTATTTTTAGGGAAACATGGGTAGATAACTCCAAACACATGCTGAGAAAAAAATGAAGGAACCACATCCTTATTTCTGTGAGCCAACTTCATTATTGTATTTTTTAATGAATACTTTTTTGCATTAATAACGCTTTGGTTAATTGGCATTGTAGTGACTGTCTTGTAGCACAAAGAAGTTAATGTCATTCAATATTTTCAGCACAGGGTCTTCTTAGGCAAATAGATGGCATAACGACATTGCAAAACAAAAAATAATAATGGGAAATGATATAAGATGGGGACAGCACTGTTGTTAGGGTAAGATTGACAGGTTTTTTAAATTTTATTTTAAAGTATCTCTTCCCCGTTACATAGTGATCTATCTGGTTTCTTGTCAGTTGTTTTTTATTTCAGCCTGTAACAATTACTATGATGAACAGGTAGAATTAGAGTTACTAACCTTTAAATGTTCTCATCCTTTAACTATAATTGAAAGAAAGAGAAAGGAGCTTAGTATAATACAAAGGAGACGGACCAATTTTCTGTTATTAACAATTGAACTATGTAATTTTCAAAGGCAATATTCATTGTACATTTTTCTTCTGGGAAAGTTATTCTTGTCCAAGCTGAAATATGGTAGCTTTTTATTTAGGAGCTTAATATACTGCTAATATTGTTTATGTTTATGCTATACAAATGCTATACAAAATTAGACCTTTTAAAAAAGATATTGGGGCAGTTTATTCGGCAAATTAAAATGCTTGTGGGTTTTTGATATATTTCTTTGTCCTCATATTTCCTGAGTTTTTCTCTTTCCCTTTATCTTGGGGTTGTTGGTTTTTTGTGTACTTCCTGTCTCTCCCTGGCAGTTTGTAGTGCTATAAAAATATGTGACTCTTTAGAAAAGGAGTTGTGCGAGAAACAAATACTGCCTCCTGAACTTCTGCGTCAAGATCTGAGTTTTGTTATAAAAAGTCATGCATATGAGACATTACATGCCACATAAAAAGCGTAAGATGATGCTCTAATGCGGCTGACATGTGTTTTTTTGCATGACCAAGATACTTAATTTTGCTTGTTCTATTGAAAAGTCTTTAATGATTTTCTGTCCTTTTAAATGGCAGTTGTCTAGTTCTTTAATGTTGGGCTGCCATCTAGTGGCATGCATTGGACTCACATTTTGTTTTTCTTAAAAAAAAGTATTGATGGTTGTGTGTATTAATTATTTTAAACCTAATTTTATTAGAACAACTTTATATAACATTGCAAAGAAAAATATCAGCAAGAAATGCCACCCACAATTATTGACAATTAATCTGTGGGTGTTCCGTCACTGGAGGTTTTTAAGAAGAGATTGGACAACATTTGTCTGAAATGGTATTGGTCCATGATGGCGAATGTATGGCATGCGTGCCATAGGTGACACACAAAGTCATTTGTGAGAGCACACGAGGAATTGCCTATCAGCTCCAAGCTGATTTTTGGCCTTGATTTTCGGCTGTTTTTCGCCCTCCGGAGGCTTCAAGGAAGGCTTCAAGGAAGCCTCCGGAGGGCAAAAAACGGCCCAATGCGCAAACCGGAGGTTTGGGAACAGACTTCCAGTTTGCCCATTGTGCTGTTTTTCGCCCTCCAGAGGTCGAAACCTGAAGCCTCTAGAGGGCATAAAATGGCCCAACGGGCAACCTACTTTATCCACTTAAGCGTAGATTATGTAGCAGTTGAACCTACGTGAAGCTTTGGTAACATTCACTGGCAAAAATAGAAAGGGGAACAGTTGGAAGAGTATCTGGATAAGGAGGATCTTATTCTGGTAACTCATGCCTTCATCACTTTGCAAGTGCATCCCTTGAAGGCCGCAGTACATACAAAATGCTCAATTACTGGGGATGTCTGTGTGTGTGTGTGTGTGTGTGTGTGTCTGCCCAAACTGCCCAGTTTGGCCTGGTTCGGTATTTTGGCCTGGGTCACAGAACCGGCAGCTACCCAGGCTGGCCACGCCCCCAAACCGGTTCCGTGATCGCTGCTGCTGTTGCCGGTATGTTGTTTAGTGCACATGTTCACTGTAAATTGTTCTGCGCATATGAAGCATGTGTGAAGCGAACCAGTAGTAAAACTTGGAGTAACCCACATCTGTGCCCAAAGTACATTGCACCCATGTTTTGAATTTGTAGCAGAGGGTGATGCCCTTATTGAGACAGAGAACATGTCTTGTTAGGTAACAGAGGAGATTGTTATCTTGAATTTCTGGTATATGAGGAGGAGGAGCAGAAGCAGGAAGTGGAAGCAGCTACTACGTTTTCTCCAGCTGTTTTTAAAAAAAATATTTTTGCCATGGATAGTTTACATGTTTGATACATTGAAAGATGCTTTATTATTGATTTTCATTGTAAACCACCATGGGTCTATATTCTTTGATATCTGTGGTGAGTTTCTTTACATTTTTTACAGTCCTCAGGAAGTCCCTAGACTTGGGGCATCAAGTAAGGAAAACAAAAAGTTGAACATAGGAAAAAGGATTGAAAGTTGAGTTTTAAAATAGCAGTGGATGAATAAACTGAAAGCCATTAAAGTACATGATCATCAGTCCTTCACAATCCTGTCATTCTGGAATGTTTTTTCGAATGTTTACCTTTTTTCTTAGGCAAAATTTTAAACTTAATTACTGTATTTCTTGATGGTTTCAGCTGCTGATACATGATCAGAATGAGTGGATTAGGAGAGAACATCTTGGACAGTATGAACAGTGACTCAAGAAAACGAAAACCATGTGATATTGCTGGACCAGGGTAAAGTATTTCCAAGTTTTTAAAATAGTGTTACTATAGAACATTTACAAATAATGTATGGTAATTTCAGAATTTAAAATTGAGTTAATATTTAGAATAGAGTTCAATTGATAGCATACCTAAAATGTTGAAATGAAGTAAAGCCATATTATTACAAGAAGAAAAAATATAGGAGGAAGGGGAGATTATTAAGTATATACTGTGTTTTCCCAAAAATAAGACCTGGTATTATTTCTCCTCCCCCCCCCAAAAAATAAGGACTAGGCTTATTTTTGGGGAAATGGGGTGTTTAGCCATGGGCTCCCCATCCCCAGCGCATACACAAGAGGCAGCAAATGCATGAGGATCGACTGTATCCAATAACAGCTGCAGCTTGTCAGTCCCTTGGACGGCGCACTCTGGGATACGCAGAGCAAAAGGCAGAGAACGGAAGGCAGGTGATCCCGATGCATGGAGTGGAAGGCAGGCAATCCTAATGTGCTGGGTAGGCTGCAGGCAAGGCAAGAGACATGAAGATAAGCCTCCCGTGACCAACCGACACCCTGGCCCACCGACGCTCAACTATCCCACAGCCTGCCCAGCATGTCCAGATTGCCTGCCTCCCTCCCCCCCCCTGTGTCTTCCTCTGCCTGCTGCTTACACAGGTATTCAACTCACATGTGCTACATGGGCTGTGGCTGCTGCCACATACTGTCGGCCCATGCACGCTCACCACCTCCTATGCTGGCCATGCCCACCCCCTCCACTAGGGCTTATATTTGGGGTAGGGCTTACATTAGGCCCACACGTAAAAACAGGGTGGGGCTAGTTGTCAGGGTAGGTTGTATTTTTGGGGAAACATGATAAATCAGGTACATGTTTAATTCAATAGAGTAGGACCAGGCAGTCATTTTTGACTTGATTCTTCAAGGATAATCTGTTGGGATTATATATTAGAGAGTTGAAGCAAACTGAGAATTGAGAAAAGCCAGTAGTAGACCTCAACTCTCCCTCTCCCTCTCTCCCTTCATTTGCATTCTTGTATTGATTTTTTATTCAACCTTGAAAACCATTGTGATAAATTCCTACTCCGAAATCAGTTTTCCTCAAAAACAGTGTAACATTTAGCCTCTTGACACCCAGTTGGGAAATATCAGTGTGGCCATGGTATCAGGGGGTGGTGTCATTTCCAAAGGGTTAGATGTGACTTGCTGAATTGAAGTTATTTAATATATTTATATATTATAAATATTTATAATAAATCAAAACCACTTTTAATTTAGCAGTTTGATTAATATATTTTATAAAGGGAAATCAGAAGCCTTAACCCATAAAACCTCTGTATCTTTCTCTCTCTTTAAGTCTTGTATGCAGTGGAGAGAAACGGCGACGTGAGCAGGAAAGTAAATATATTGAAGAACTAGCTGAACTGATATCTGCTAATTTGAGTGACATTGATCATTTCAATGTTAAACCAGATAAATGTGCAATTTTAAAGGAAACAGTTCGACAGATACGCCAGATAAAGGAACAAGGCAAGACTGATTCTTAATTTATATAAACTATCCCTTTTATATAAAAATCATGTAGACATGAGTCTGATTTTAGCTTTAAAATATGAGATACATTTTATTTTCTGCTAAATATTTGGCCACTTAAGCTAATATTAACAACATGGATACCACAAATAAAATAAGTGAAAGATTGACTAATGTTTTACTAAAAGATTCATACATTTACATTTATTACACTGTATTAGAGTCAGTGAAATAACAGATTGGTTAGATTCAAGTCATTTTATTTATTTATTTAGCATATGGCATATCATACATGGACTAGCATGTATAATAGAAGAGCCAAGTCATACTGCTATAGAATCAAGAGTTGGAAGGAACCATTTAAATCATTTCCACAATCATTTTATTGTTGTGAAGGGAGAAAATAAAGAACATAAAAGAGGTCATAGAAGAAATAGGTAGACCTATGGCTCTCTCCTCAAGCTAGCATAACACAGTTCTGGATAGTTTCTTCTCATTTGAATACTTACCCAGTCTTCATTTTCAAGGGTGGTGCGGTGGCTCAGCAGTTAGGATGCTGGGCTTGTTGGCTGGAAAGCCGGCAACCCAGATTCAAGACACGAGTGCCAAAGTATGGAGTGAGTTACTCTCCTTGCCTCACTCCTGCCAACCTAGAAGTTTGAAAGCATGCAAATGCGAGTAGATAAATAGGTATCACTTCGGTGGGAAGGTAACAGTGCTCTGTGACATCATGCTGGCCACATGACTGTGGAAATGTCTTCGGACAGCGCTGGCTCAATGGCTTTGAAATGGAGATGACCACTGTCTGTTATAGTTGACAACGACTAGCAGAATAAAATCCACAAGATCTCCTTTATCTTTTACTTCATTATCAAAAAATGTCATGGTGAAGCTGAATTTATATTTTCTATGTCACCAAGGAAGCTTTCATCCTTTAATATGGAATAAAGATTAATATTGTGTATGGTTCAGTACTGTTTTTTTCAGCTGTTTAAATTCTCATTAAAACAATTTTAAGCATTTTAATAATAAATAGTAACAGTTAAATCTGTATATATCCCATGGCATTTTCAATTTCAGGAAAAACAGCATCTACTGATGATGATGTTCAGAAGGCAGATGTATCTTCAACTGGACAGGGTGTTATTGATAAAGATTCACTGGGACCACTCCTCTTACAGGCAAGTAGAAAAATGTGGGTTAGACAGCATCACCACCAGATGGATTTGTAATAGGCTGACCAACCGCACTCAATGTGTAGTCCTCAATGGAACTGTATCTACATGGAGGGAAGTATGCAGTGGAGTACCCCAAGG